AAAAGAAAGGGTCAGGCCATGAGCGAACCCACAGCTGGTCCCCACAAGACCCCTACCCACTCCACAGGCTGTGCCCTGCAACAGGAGAGCCTCAATACCCATCTGGGGCTGCCACTGGGCAGGTGGAAGAGACACATCCTGTGGCACGTGGCTCACCTGGACTCGGTGACATTCCTGCTCTCTCCCTGGCAGACGTTCTCCAGCTGCACATAGATGGAGCAGTTCACCTTGGACCAGTCAGGGTTGCAGACAGCCAGGAAGTTTGGCCGGAGTCGGCCGATCATGTACTTGGCCAGGTCAGTCAGGGACTGGCTGATGGCCCCCCCGAAGAGAAAGGTCCCAACCACCTTGTAGAGGGCAGCCAGGTAATTGTTGAATTCTGACTTGGAGTAGAGACGCTCGGTGTAGACCAGGTAGGCCTCCCCCGATGAGATCTGCAGAGAGCAGGGGAAGAGGTGAGGGCTGGGGGTGACTGGCAGCTCCCCAGGGGTGCAGGATGCTCTGGCTCTGTGGCACAGGAGCCCCTGGCATCCACAGGAGCCCACGGGCCCTCTCCCCCTCCCTGCAGGGAGCCAGCCCCATGGGATGTGGCTCTCCCCACTCCAGTGGGAGCTCTGCCCCCAAGCAGAGCAGGGCTCAAGCTGAGGGTGTTGCTGCCCTCCCAGGGCTCTGGAGGTGGCTGTGCTGGGCCCCAGCTTCCAGCTACAACACGTCAGCATGGCCCTGTCCCGGAGGAAAGGGGGTGGCAGCTCCTTACAATGATAACAGTGCAGCTGATGGTGACCCCGGCCATGAGGCCGTGGGTGATGGTGTCTGCCTTGTAGGGGTAGCGGATGGAGTCATCGTTGCAGTAGAAGCCTCGCTTGTAGGGGGAGTTCACCAGGGTCAGGATGATGAAGGGCAGAGACGCTGCAAGGCACAGAGAGGGTGAGGACTGGGGACAGCAGCCAGCAGGCTCCACACCAGCACACAGCACTCACCCCTAAGTCTCTGCTCCCCGATGCCAGGGAGGGATCCCCCCAAGGATGAAGCCCTGAGCCACCTGTACCCAGGGCAGGAGGACCTGAACCCAGCAGAGCACTGCCCTGAGAGCGATAGGGCCCTATCAGAGCTCACAGATGCCTGCAGCACCCAGATACCACAGGAGACAGCCACAAACGGGCACCCACAGAGCCCCTCGGGCTGCCCCGCTCCTCCCAGGCACTGCAGGGGCAAGGGAGGGCCTGTGCCCTCTCCTCACACTGCCCAGCCTAGGAAGACAGAGCTGATAAAATTAACGAGCACAGGCGTCTTGTAAACCTGTTTTACAGCAGGGAAGGGCTCCCAGATGGTCCCAGCAGAGCCCTCACAGCAGCTCCAGGAGGAGATGCTGTACACGACCCAGTCCAGGCACAACGGGACTCCAGTGCACTCGGCTTGCCCCCCTCATCCTCCCACAGCCCCTGTCAGCCTCTCCTCTCCCCCGGGCTCCTGGGGGCTCTGGGGAGAGGCTGTGCTGCCTGGGCAGCCTGGACAAGGAGGCTTTTCCACCCAGCACGCTGCAGCCCCGGCCACGGGCAGCTGCGAGCTCACCCAGCACTGTCCCCGAGATCCAGAGGGGTTTTGGGGTCTCTGCGCCGCACAGCAGCCGTGCCAGCCCCCCGCTGGAATGGGGCCCCTGCTCCTGCTCCATCCCTGCTCAGGAACGGCCAAGGACGGCTTCCAGGACGCTCCCCCGGGAAGCGGCCCCCCCTCCCCGCAGGCCACCTTAGGCCGGGCTCCTCTCCCAGTTCCGCCTTTCCCGGCGGTTTCCGCCTCTCCTCGTTCCTCCGTCTCCCGGGAGTCCGCACCTTTGTCCCCGCCCGTGCCCGCCCCGGGGGTCCCGCGCCTCCCGCGCCCACCGAGCGAGCCCCGGGGGCTGCCCCGCCGCCCCCGCCGCGGGCAGGGAACCGGCCCCGCTCCCTCCTCCCCGCACACCTCAGACGTCCATTTTCAGCTCAAATTAGACACCAATTTTCTTTCTGGATAATTTCATCCTCCAAAAAAAGCTCCCCTAAAAATATAAAGCACCGGCCCGCGGGAGGGAAAGGCGCTCCGAGCGGCACCGGGACCCGGCCTCTCCCCCGCCCCGCAGCCGGGGAAGCTCCGGCCGCGATCCCGATCCGGGCCTTTATTTTTAGTCCGTCTTAATTCGTTACTTCCTTGCGGCAGTTTTAGAAACATTTCCCCGCACTGTGGGGGCAGAGGGGGTCCCAGAAGGGGTGCTCCGAGCCCACCGGCCCCGCTCCGTCCCGCGGAGGGCCGGGCTCGGCGGCGGGCAGGCGGCCAGGGCGGCGGCGGAACCGTCCCGGTGCCGCCCGAGCCGAGCGACCCTCCCGGCCAGCGACACACCGGCTCCCACCCCCCGCGGGACCGTTCCCGGAAAGGGGACGGCCCCGAGAACCGGGACCCCCGAGGAGCCCGGGAGGGCTGGGGCAGGAGCCGGTGGCTCCCGGCGGAGGCCCGGAGCCCCGGAGATCGTCCGGGCAGGTGCCGGCCACGCTGCCCCAGCACGGCGGGGTCGCGGAGCCGCGGTGCCTCCCGCGGAGCCGCCTTCCAGCCAGCCCCACCGGGGGCACCGGGGGCACCGGCGGCACGCGGGGACGCGGCGGGGCCGCCGGCACGGAGCCCTCACCGACCGCCAGGCACAGCACGTCGAGCGCCACGAAGACCTTCCTGCGCTCCATCCCGCAGCCGGTGCGGCCCCGCGGCCCGGCCCCGCGGCTCACATGGCCCGGAACGGCGCGGGCCCGGCCGGGAGGTAAAGTCCGGGCGGGGCGGGGCGGAGCGGGCCCGGTGCCCCCGCCCAGGGCCGGGGCGGGGCGGCAGCGGCGGGGCCGGGGCCGGGACCCCTCCGGACCCCGACCCCGCTCGCCCCCGCCGCTTCCTCCGGCTCCGTGCCGGCGTCCGCGGCTCCGGCCCTCCCGAGCCCCCCGGTGCCCGCCCCGCCCGTGCCTGCGCCAAGGGGAAGGGGGAGAAGAAAGCGAGCGAGGCCGCTTCGGGAGCCGCCCGAGTCCCACCCGCCTCGGGCCTATGTCCCGAGGAGGAAAAAAGGGGCAAAAAGGAAAATTGTGGCCCTGAAATGTGCTGGCTGCGGTGGTTTGTGCAGACGTGAGGCTGGCTCGGTGGCGAGATGGGTTCTCGAGGGAAGCAGGGACGTCCAGACACCGGAGTGAGCACACAGGCTGAGCCAGGAGCTGATTTACCCCGAGACACTGGGCTGTATTTCCTGAGCCTCCGACATCCCGGTGCTTCCCGCTGGGTTTGGGGACATGCTGAAACCAGAATGGGGACAGGAGCACAGGTCCCTCAGCAGTTCCCGGTGGGAGCAGGGACAGTCGCATCCCGGCTGTTTGCTCCAGGCCGGATGTCGGGAAGGAAACAAATAACACAGAAACCACCCATGGCTGATAACTGCGGTGACTGAAGCGCAGCCTGAGCAGAATGTCAAGGCTGTTTGTGGGAAGCCGAGACAGCTGGAAGCACTCTCGGGAGTTTCAGGAGAGGGGACAGAACCACGGGCCAGCTTTCCCCGGCCCTGATGTGCCCCGGTGCAGCTTCCTCCTGCCCTCCGGTGCCACGGGGGCCCTGGCACACCGCTGGGGCAGGATGTGCCCCACACACGCTGCCTGCAGACCCCAACCGAACAACGGAGAGCCCCGAGGCAGGAGAGCTGGGGGGATGCCCAGGCTGTGTCGTGCAGTAGATGTGAAGATTAAAACGCTCTCTCACCGCTGATCAACCCCTCCTCAGCAGAGCCTCCAGCAGTCCTGCCTGTGGGAGGGCTCCGGGCCGGGCCGCCGTGGGGACACGGATGTGACAGCGTGGGGCTCCGGGGACACGGCACGGACGCGTAGAGGAAGCTCCGCACGGCCCAGCACGACTTTGCCCGGGGGGCTTAGATGTGAAGATTAAAACGCTCTCTCACCGCTGATCAACCCCTCCTCAGCAGAGCCTCCAGCAGTCCTGCCTGTGGGAGGGCTCCGGGCCGGGCCGCCGTGGGGACACGGATGTGACAGCGTGGGGCTCCGGGGACACGGCACGGACGCGTAGAGGAAGCTCCGCACGGCCCCGCACGACTTTGCCCGGGGGGCTCCGGGGGGTGCCGGCCGGGACCGGCCCGGCCCAGCACGGCCCGGCCCCGCCCTCTGCCGCCCGAGCGCCGCCGCTGCAGCCGGGGCCGGGGGGCGGCGGAGCTCGGCCCGGAATCCAGCCCGGAGCCTGCCCCGGAGCCCGGGGGCGGCGGAATCCAGCCCGGAGCCTGCCCCGGGGGTCTTTAGAGCCCGGGGGATCCGGTCCTGCCGCTCGGTTTCCTGAACTGAAACCATGCCATGGATGCCATGGAGGAGAGGCACCGCGGTCCCACCGAAGGCTCCAAGCACCCCCGCGGTTCCCGCTGCTCGTCAGAGCCTCGAGGAAAGGGGGGAAGCCGCTCCCGTCCCTCCTGCCCTGGGCTGTGCCCACCCTGGTACCCGCCTCTCCGGGCAGAGCTGGGGGCTGCTGAGCTGGAGCCCCCAGGGCCCTGGGACAGGCAGGCAGAGCCAGGCACAAGCAGGAGAAGAGAATTTAAGGAGTCTCTGATGGAACAGAGACTGTGGGGTGGGGAAACACAATGCAGTTGCAGCAGGAACACTCCTCTTGCCTCCAGGAGCTTTTTCTGGTTGAAGTTTGGATGCAGTCCTGCCTCTCAACGCCCCAGACCTGGCACAGGCTGCCAGGGTTTTAGAGGATTTGGGGCACCTGTGAGAGGAACAAACAGCTCCCTCCAGCTGCAGCACGGGAAGGGAAAAGCTCTGGGTCTCCTCCAAGGCTGGGATGGCATCCCTGGCACAGGGAATGCTGCCCTGCCTGGAGGAGAGCACTGGTGGGGAGCAGGAGGGGATCAGACAGCAGAGGCAGGGACCCCTGTTCTTGTTTCACCATCATTATGCACTGAACTGTTGCATCTTGGCCTCTAAGAAGAAGACAGACTTCTGTCTCACTTTCAAATTAGGTTTTAATTAAATAAATAACGGTGAGGGGTCTTCAAGGCAGTGTCACTTCACAGTGTAGGGCTGGGGGGCAAGGGAGGAAAGAGTCCAGCATGGGGAGCGGCTCAAAGTGAGTGTGCTTTGTAAGAAGGAAAAAGAAAACCCCAACAAAAAAAACCCCAAAAAAACAAGAACCAAACCTCCTCCCCCAGTGACTCCCCCTCCCTGTCCCAGCCTTTCTCACTCCTCTCCCTCAAAGTTATGTGGAAAAAGCGCTGCACTCATGTTGAAAGACCCCATGCAAATCTGTAAACAACACTGAAGGACATAAAGAGATTTCTGCCTCAGCCAGCTCCCCTCTCCTTTCACTAGGGCTTGAAATAAACCAAAAGAAAAAATGGTTTCAGGAAAATAAGAATGTTCTCAGCCGATGGAGGAGATGCCAAGGCCTGGCCCTCCCTGGGAGGGCTGCCTGTGCTCTCACCCTGCCTCCTCCTCTCCCTTCAGCCAAGGAGCTTCCTCTCACCCCACAAAAGGGGAATCTCAGCCTGGGCAGTTCCACTATGGAGCAGGCACTCGTGTTTGCTCTCTGTTCCCAGCAGCCAGGAGCAGCTGCACCTGCCTGGGGCTCAGCACTCCCAGCACAGAGCTGGGGGCCAAAGCAAACCCCTGCTAAAGCACAGAGACCAGACCTGGGGCTTAGGAGATGAGACAAGGTCTAATCCTGACACCCCACGGGGCTGTTTGATGCTGTCTCTGTGCTCCTGCTGCAGGGCTGGGCACAACTTCCCAGAGCCAGGTAAAGGGAGGATGCAGGCTGCTGGCTTTAGGTACCTGCCAAGTGCACATCACAGCCCCAAGGACCCTACCCTACAAAACCCTCAACCCAAGCCCCTTCCCAGCTGCAGAACACAGCTGGAGGAAACACAGCTCTGTCTGCAGCAGAGCCTTGCCCAGCAGGTGAGGGGAGAGCACTCCCTGCATGGGAAAGGGGAATGAGAACACACTGAGCCAGTGGCCAATCCCACACCTGCAACACACCTGGGAAGAGAAGCAGCTTTGGACTCCAGCACAGCCAAGGACAGGCTCCTGTGGCTCTGCACAGCACCTGGCACCTTCCTGAACATGGCAGAAACGACACACCTTCCTCTCAGCCTGTTTTGTGACACAGGGAGGGCAGGGAAGCCCAGGGATGCTGTGCTCCCCTGCCTGGCGCTGTGCTAGCACCCATATCCCAGGCACCCTGGGAGCTAAGCAACCTCCTCCCTCTGCTGACAAACTGTTGGAACAAACTGGGAAGTTACAGATGCTTTCACCTGCATTATCCCTCTTCAGCCCAGAGAAGATGAGGTCATCCCCTGCCAGCAGCAGCACCAAGCTCTTGGCCAGCATCACTCTGAGTCTAGAACCTCCTGTTACTCCCCACAGAAATTCTCCCTGGCCCAGCACTGCAGGGGAAGTGAGAAGGACTCGAGTGCACACCGGTCATCCCCTGCCAGCAGCAGCACCAAGCTCTTGGCCAGCATCACTCTGAGTCTAGAACCTCCTGTTACTCCCCACAGAAATTCTCCCTGGCCCAGCACTGCAGGGGAAGTGAGGACTCGAGTGCACACTATGCTGCTGCACACACAGCATCCCTTTCCAAAACCTGACACTTCTGCCCAAGGGCCACATCCCACCTTGAGCTGCTGGAGAGAAAGGAACACGTGGCTGCTGCCAGTGCTCCTGGCATGAGAGCCCAACTGCTGTCCCATGACATGTTCCTTAAGGGCCAGCTTGTCCCATTCCTCTCTGAAGCCTGGGATAGTGTCCCAGGCAGGACTGAAGGTGACCCTGCCAGCCAGGACACCCTTCCCTGAGCCTGCTGTGGTCCCAGGGGCTGTGCACAGGTGACAGGAGATGTCCCAGATTACTTTCCCCCACTCCAGCATATCCAAAGCACTTGTCAGCAGCATGACCCCCTTACTCACTGCTCACAGCAGTGCTTCCATCCCACGAGCAGCTGTGTGCCTGCCTGTCATGACCCATGGCTGCTGGGAGGAGGACAGGGTGAGTGGCTCCCACTGCAGCACGCTGCCCGTGGAGGGTCAGCCTCCCTTGGCATCGCCGTGCCCGTCTCTGCAGGGAACTGCCCTGCAGCCCTCCCAGGCTCTCAGACCCCCAGCCTGCACCCTCACCATGATGGTGACACGTCCCTCTTCTCAAAGCACCTCTGCCCTCAGACTGTCCTGCTGGGGCCAAGGGACACGTCCCCTGTGCCGAGGCAGGGACTCTCTGAGCGGACTGGCATCACCCGGGGTGACACATGGTCAGCCAGGAGGGGGGTGAGGGACCTCCCCACCCAGGAAAGCCAGCCACCACTTTGCACAACTGTGTCAGGATACACCGGAGCAGAAAGGTGTTTGGTTTCACTGTAGCCTTGGATCAAGGAGGATGGAAAGACGGATTCCGACCAACAGCTCCAAACTGTCCCTACAGGACAGCGGAAGTTCCAGAATTTCACTCAGTCAGGTCAAAGTCCTTGCTGGGTCTGTGACAAATTTGTGACTGGAGACTTTCACTGTGACAGAGGCTCTGACCGAGCCACAGGTGCTGGGCAAGCCTGATGAGCAGTCAGGAAAGTATTTACATCTCCGATGCCAATGAGACCGAAATCTGTGACCGATAAGGACACTTGCGCGGGGGCCACCACGGCCTCGGGCTCTCTGTCCAAATCCACAGGGCCAGCAATTAAGGGCAGCCCCTCGTTAATGTCTGCAGGGAGAGCGAGGTCCATGGTTATTGTCTCACCAGAGTTCTGCAACGTCTCCTGCTTCTCTGGCAGCCCTGGTCCCGCGGGAGGCAGGGCGAAGAGCTCGGGCTCAGAGGGGGTGGCAGTGTGGCGAGGGCAGGGCACGGGCACAGCGCCCGCGGGCGCCTCCTCCGAGGGGTCGAAGGAGCAGTTTGTCTCCGAGGGGGTGCTGCACTCGTAGCCCTGCCCCGACTCGCTGATGCTGCCCAGGCTGCAGGCTGTGCTCTCCACACTCAGGGGCTCTGCTCAGGTGGGGACAGAGAGGGGGACAAGAAGAGAAAGTCACAGTGAGTCCACAGTGTCACCTAATCCCAAAAGTATTTGTTACATGGCACAAGTGTTTCTTTGTTACAGCAACCAAGATCCCCTGGCAGCCCCTAGAGAGGGAAGGCAAGATGCCCACAGCAGATGGGAGGCCATCAGTGTTTCTATGGAAATTAAAGGAAACCTCACAGACACGCTGCGAGATAAGCCAAACCCTAAATCCTATCCCCTCGTGCCAACAACCCCTGGGAGCTGTCCACACAAAGCCTTCATCTGCAGCAGGACAGTGAGGGAATGAAGCCATGTGGGGCCTCCTGCAGATCTTCTCACAGCCAGCTCTGTGAAAGCAGCTTGCACCTGACTTCTGGGGCCTTAACCCAGCCTCTGGAGGAGCTGCCTGTGTCAGTGCTTTGGAAGCACCTCATTCAGGTGCCCAGTGCATAATCCTTTTGTTTTGGGAGTAACCCAGGCCACCCCTCCATCCCAACACAGAACAACTGTTTTACAGTCACCTCTGGTCAATGCAGAGACAGACAAGACTCTTCTGCTGACACCAAAACCCCATGGCAGACAGACAAAAAGGAATTACCTGTGCTCTCAATTGCTATCTGATCTTGACCAAAGTGAGCATCCAGGCAGCCAGCTGCAGAGGGAATTGGTGGGGAGCTCCGAGAACGATTCGTGTTTTCCACTTCAACCCCATCCAGGTCATTGTCAGTGAAATCCCTGTGAGGAAACAGAGAGCCTTGCCACCACCTGCTGAGCAGAGAGATGCAGGCAGGAGAAAGGTTGACTGGGATTAAAACCCATCAAAAAATAAAGCAATGGGACTGTAGAGACACCACTAGAATGAATGTCCATCCCTCCCTGCTCTGCAGAGCCTGGTTTACTCTGCCCTGAGGAGGTGATCTCAGGTAACAGTGTGGCCAAGACCAGCCCATGACAAACCAAAATGGGCTCTCCAGCTTCCTAAAGAGCTCTGCCCCCAGTTCTGTGAGCTTCAGCCTGTTCCAAAGGGAAATAAATACATGGAAAAAACACCCAGGGAACACCCAGATTCATGGAATGACTGCGGTGGGTCCCTAGTGTGCCAGCAAAGAGCAAGTGATGAGAAGATATTTTCCCATCCTGGGAAGATTTAAGATTTCAGGCATTTTCTTGTCTTGCATCAGAATTTAAAAAAAAACCTAAGCCTTCATCTGATGTTTTTAATTGATTCAGCTTCAATATTTCATTTTGACCTATTAAGAGATTTCCGTTTCAATCTTTTTGAAAAGGTGTATTTTGAAAAGTACCTTCTGTAATTAGCATACATTTCAAAGGGAAGAATTTGCCTCAAAGGGAAATTAATTCAGGTTCCAAACCACCAGAAATAAGCACATCTTTGAATTTATAAAGCTCCCTTCCCAAAACCTCATCAAACTGAGTTCTTTCACCGAAGTCAGCTCTGAATCCCTGTCCCCAGCCTTTTGTGGATGTGTTTGTCTGAAACAAAACTACTTTTGACACACAGAAAAGGACGAGAAAGTCCACAGCTCTTTTATCTTCCCTCCCCACACCAACTGAGTGCCTGTGCTCTGAGAACACCCCGTGCATCCCTCCATCCTCCCACCCCAGAAACCTTCTGGAGAAGAAAGCGCAGTCTGTTAAGCGGAGGTGCTTTGCAGCAGGAATCTTCACTGGGAGGTTAATATTACTAATTTTAGTGTGAGAATATTCCACGCACGTGGCTCCAGGGTGGAGGACGTACTTCTTCCTTCCTAGACGAGTCTGCTGAGTGAAGTAGTCATAACGCTCTGATTTTTTCCACATGTAGTAATACTCCACACACTCGCCCACCGACCGCGTGCGGACCTGAGGAGAAACAGCCCAGTCAGGACAGCCACCCCCACCCAGGTGCATCTCCTGGAGCAAGGAGCTATTCTTCCCATTTAACCAGCACAGAAAATTCGAAGTGCATTACAGTGATTTACATTGCTATGGACACATTGCTGCAGAACAGAAGCACGTACTGAGGTTTCCGAGGTGGCCAGAGAAAGAACTCCCCACAGCACACAGCTGTTGTCACAGACCCCTGTGGGCCACACACACTCGTGCAGGACTTTCCTGTGCTTCCAGCAGCAGCACACTTAGCAGAGAGAGCAAACCTGCATCCATTGGCACTGGCCAGCGTCAACATGCCTACAGTTAACCAGTGGTAGAACTGGACTCTCTGGTTCTGCCAACTCCCAGCACAGCAGCATGTCCCGGGGCCCAGCTCTCCCTACAACAGCATCTGCCATTCTAGAGGACCCCAGGGGACTTTACGAAACATCCACATGCTCAACTCACTCATTCACAGAAGTACTGCAAGGGCTGAGAGTTTGGAAAGAACTTTTGAGACTCCAGAAAGGGCTAATCAGTAATTAACTGACATCACTCATGCAGGTCAGTGGTGTTTGTGACTTCTCCCACCTGGAAAATAAGGCAGAGCAGGGCAGTGAACAGCCCATCACCTGCTGGCATGAGTCAACACAAAGCCTGGGATTGGAACTCGGCCATCCTGAACTCCCTGTGTCAGCCGAGGCCCAAAGCACACCTGTGGTGCCCAAGCACCTTCCTGCTTCCCCTGCTCCTCACCTGGGGGAGCAGCCTTACCTTGTTGGCTTGGATAAGGTGAAAGTTTTTCCCATGGACCCTAAAGCCATGTTCAAAATTTCTACATTCTTCCTCGCTCCAGGCACAAAGCTCATCTGCAGCAGAAAGAAAGAGTTGGGGGAGATGTGCAGAATGTAGAAAGAGTTTTTCATGTGCCTTGATGAACCCAAATAAGAGGGGGGTCCTCACCTCTGATAACCTTCACGTTGAACCGTAACCTCCGCAGTGCCTCTTCTGCATTGAAGTTGCATTTCACCAGCTCATACAAAGCCTGGGAAACAGAAGGAAATCACTCACAGCACGTACCTGAGCAACACACCACAAACCAGCCCACTCATGACTCACATTTGTCCCATAAAACTTCCATTTCCCAGCAGCCACCTTGCTGCTAACCCCAGCTTGACCACCAGCAGAGATTACCCCACTTTTCAAGGCACTGGATTACAAACACTGGCACTCAACAGATGCAACCCCACCAGAATCTAACCAGGCTAGCCTGAAGTAAACACAGCTGCTCTGAAATGGTTGATCTGCTGACTTTCCCAGTCTTCCCAATGGGAGGGCAACCAACCTCCCCAGGGCACAGCTGGGCACACACCCTCACTTATCCACCAGGATCACTGGAGTTTGACCTCATTCTCCCCTCTGTAGGGGACGTGGCACTGTTGGGCCAGCACCACCTGGCTCTGTGTGGGCTGCAGGAGGCCCTGGGCTCACCTGCTCGTTGTCCTTGACCACCTCTCCCTCTGGCAGGCTGCTGCTGGACAGCTCGTCCCACTGGCGCTTCACGGCGCGGTACAGGAACTCTTCCACCTCCCTCTCAGGGAGGATGTTTGGGTCCCAAAGCAGCTGATCTTCATTCTCATAGGCTAACAGAAAAAGCACTGAAATAAGATAATCAAACAGAGAATTCTGCTGCTTTTTGAGAAGTGGTCTGCACGGACATGCATGGGGGAGACAGAGGAGGGAGGAGATCTTTGCTTGGTGTTCCAGCTCAGCACTACAGATGACAAACATCCCTCAAGGCACTGCATGTTCCCTCCTGATTTTGGAGGCAGATAAGCTCTTTATATCTCTTTTAGGGCCTTTGGCACAGGCTCAGCTTGCTTCCATTGTTTCAGAAAGGTTGGCTGATAAAGTTTTTGTTATCATATTCTCAAAGATTGCTGTTTTGATTAATTAATCCTGGCAAATAAAGACTGTTTTAGCTTTCTTGTCCAGAAGCTCAACAAGCTGGCACTCATACTGCACTCATTATTTGACACAATCTGCAAACCAAGGCACCTCTGTCTGCTCTGCAGACATCCCAAAATCAGAAACAGATCACCTCCAGGGAGCACTGAATGACATAACTCACTACTTAAGGAAGATGTCAGAATAAATCAGAGCATCCCCAGATGGGTGTTCCTTCTCCGAGACCCCCTCCTGCAAACCTGTCACACCAACCCAGTTCTCCATGAGCTTCACCATTCAGTCCTGTGATCCCATCCCTATTAACTCAGGCTCATTTCAGCCAGTAAATCTGATTGTCAGCACTGAAAGCTGCCAAGCCTGGAGATCCAGAGCAGGGCTGGAGATCCAGATCCCATCAAAACCCCCTGCCAGCAGCCCTTCCCCCAAACCAGGCACAAAGAAGAGCTGCCTTACCTTTTTGCCTGTGCCTGTTTAAACGGAGGATGGGAACAGTGGCCTGGTACTGAGGTCCAACCATGATCTCCTGAAATCCCACAACAGAGAGGTGAGAAAACTGCAATGGGAAATGCTCCACGCAGGCTGTAATTCATGATTTAGGGACTACACCACTACAAGGCTGATTTATTTACTGGTAGCCCCCTCTGTCACTATTGTTTCTAGTGAACCCTGTCTATTTTACAGGGTAACTAAGAAGATTTACTACCAGCCAGATGATACTGTGGGGACCTTCAGCATTTACATAGTTTCAATGTAAGGGATCTATGGCAAGCAGTTAAGGGTGAAAATAAAGCAATGTAGATGCTCTCCTGCAACCTTCACAGACAGGATGAATTTGGAAGCCTGCTCCTCTCTTTAGAGAGATGGTTCCCCCTCAGTAAATCCTGCTGGGAATACTGCACAGCATTTTACCTTTATAGGGCTACAGGCTGCAGATTTAATTTACTAAGGCACAACAGACTTCCCTTATTTGACACAGAAGATAATTTTAAGATTGTATTAAAAACCCCTCTTGTAACCCACATCTGCCACTGTCACCCACAAAATGCAACGCATCAGGAAGCCAATTGGGAAAATAACATAGGGCTTTGGTGTCATGCATTTTTCCAATTCAGGACTCCCCCTTCCCAATGCACTCAGGTCATTTACCTTCTTACACTCATTGGATGGGATGGAATCCACCTCTGAGTCCTCAGCCATGGAGGAAGCACATGGTGATGAACATGGCTCTTTGTCTTCATCAGCAAGGAAGTTGTTTGCTTTGTGGGAAAGGAAAAGAATTGTAGTTACAAATTTTTTATTCTATTCCTTTATGTTCTCTCTCCTTCCCTTCATTTTCTGTCCTAAAGTCCCTTTCAGCATGGTCTACAGTGACAACTTACCTGTATTTTAATTTTCTCATTTAAGTAAAAGAATTTGGACACTTGCCCCATGGATGGCCAACTTGGGGAAGCTCAGACTCCTTAGTATTGCAAGACAGCAGAAGAAATAACATCACTTCACGCAGAGTCCCTGTCACGTGCTTTGGCTTCCCACATATTCCAACATTTAGGAACTGCCACAATACATCACTCCATTACTACTACTGAATTTATTCACTTGTAGAGATGTCAGATGAGGTACTGATCTTTCAGACTGCAATTACAGCAGGCAGCAAAACAATTCCCACTCTCTCAGTATTCTGAGAAAATTCTCCCCTCATCCCACTGCTCATCAACGCTCTGTCCTGTCCTACCCAAAGCCCGGTAACGCCTCTGCCATGCAGACAGTCCCTAGGAGGAAAAGTGGAAAATCTGATGTCAGGAGACTGACAAAATTAAGAGAACCATTCTCACCCTCCCCTGCACATCATATGTAAAAGTGAACAGCAGCTACTTAGGAACTAGTGACACATACAGCCAGGCTGGTTTGGGAATAAGTCCGATGCATCGTGGGATGTGACGGACGGAGTCAGATCGTCAGCTGAAGATTGGGTCTCCTCCTCTTCTTCCCCTGAAAGCAAATCCTTCGCTATTTGTTCCTTTTAACAACAACAAGAAAGTGAAAAATATTTTTAAATTAAAAAAAATATACGAGGGGGAGTGAGGCCTAGAGTAAAAGCATCTTTGGCCAGCAGTGGCCACGTCCACAGATCTCTTCACCCTCCCACAGCTTGTCCAAAGACAGATTCTCTCTCACACTCCCACCACACCCAGACTATTTTCCCTAGAAGCACTTTAACAAGTGTCATGAGTGGCTTCCTATGGAAGCCAGACAGTATGAGCAAGCATCCCCTTCTGTAGAGCTCCACTCACAGCAAATATCTCAAAGATCCTGAAGGAGAAACAAAGGAAAAAAAACAACCCAACCCCCAAAAAAACCTCCACTTTCTGAAGACTTGAGCTAGAACAAGAGGAGCCATGGCTTCATACAAAGAAGATAGAAACGTTCCCTGGCTCTTCACACACCAGCATGGATGTGCAAATACTTTGTAACCAAAGCTCCACACAGAGTTTTTACATTTTGAAACAGATACCCTTTCTCCTTTCTCCTCTAAACACTTCACACTGGTGTTTCTGGTGTTCCCCACTGGACACCAGAACTAGGCAGGCCCCTTCCAACCCCTCTGAAACAGGGGGAACCTCAAGCCCACGTGCAGACAGCCAGGCAGAGAGCTGCTCTCACCTTGTCCAGAGTCATGTCAGGGAGGTTGGGGGTGATGTCATTGCTCTCGCTGTCCTGCTCCGAGATGGGATCTGATGCCTCATAGCCATACAGTGCCAGCAGCTCCTCAAATGGCATTTCACTGCTCTGAGCAAGAGGAGGACAAAGCTGCATCAGGAGGAGAACAACCACAAGAGCAGCACACAGGCAGAGGCAGTCAGGGCAGCTCAGCTCCTCTGGGGGCTCTGAGCAGCCTCAGGTGACACTGTTGGGACTCACTGTAACCTGTGCCTCTCAAAGGTATGGAAAAGCCAGGAACTTTCACCCCAAAGCAATATGGCCTAGGGCATTTTTAAAATAACTTTATCTTTTATTCTAGATTTCAAACAGGTGAAAGATGCCAGACAGCACAAGTGTGTTTAAGCAGAGGAAGGGGAGCAGCAAATCCCTGCACCAATTTTGTGCCTGGCCTGAAGAGACACTCCCTGTCACCAAGAACAGTTTGTGTTCCACTGAGGTCTCCGTGGGACCACCCACAGCTGCAGTCAGGGCCACACACAGCAAACAAGCAAATCCTCCAGGTAATTTCCCTTCCCCTCCCCTGCTGCCTTTACCTGAGAGGCACTGAAACTCTTCTCCAGTTCTTCTAAAGATTTCTGCTTCTCCTGAGTATCATCTTCCTCCCTTTCTTCCCTCACACCATAGTTCTGGGAAAGGATCTCTGCCAGGTTCAGTCGATGATCAGCTGAGCCCATTGACACAACTGCAGGGATCAGAAGGAGTTGGACACTAGCATCACCATGGACCACACCTTGAGATGCAACAAAGCCAGGGATCATCCCCTCTGTTGTGTGTGCAGACATGATAAGCCAGAGGAAGAGATCAGGCAGAACAGAGGAAACAGAGATCACAACTGGCAGCACTCACTCCATCAGCACAAAGCCTGGTTCTGTGCACATTTGAGTACCACAACTGACTGGAAGCTGAACCTGAAGCTTTTCTGAGTATTTGTATCTCACTCCCCACTGGATTCTCACAACATGTGTACACACACTGCAGCCTTTCCTTCACCTGGGGGCATTTTTAGGGTAATCACCCCTTAAGAATGGCCAAATGGACACCTGCAGGAGCTTTGGCATCACCCCTTACTCAAGAATGGCCAAATACTTCTTTTTATCTCCTACTTTCATGGATTTCCCTTTCTCCCTTCTCCCTCCCCACAGCCCCATGAGATGCTTTTCTGGGATTGCTGCCAGTGCCACTGCACCTGTGCCCTTGGCCAGGGCCTTACCTGCCATGACCACAATGAGGATAAATCCTGTCAAATCTGGGAAGGGGTCTTGGATACATCAATAAAAGTGAGGAAAAATGGGGGGAAAAGGTAATCAGCCCTTACTCAAGGTAATCTCCCCTTACTCAAGAATGGCCAAATGGACACCTGTAGGAGCTTTGGCACGTTTAAACCTTTCCTCCTCTGTCAAACAGCATGGGAATCAACCAGCAGGCTGGGGAGGGGTTGCAAGGAGCAGGGAAGTGATCACAGTAACTTTGTTTCCTCTGGAAACCACACCAGCAGCCAGAGGGAGGTGAGCTGGAGGTACCTGCAGCGCTCTGAAGGGCGGGCTCTCCAGGACATAGGCCACGGGCTGGGTATGGAACCACCCTGGGGCTCTGCCGGCCAACTGAGGCCTTCAGGAAGAGAGAAAAACACAGCTGAGACAGCTCCCCTTAAAAACACACCACCCTCCACCACCTCACCCCAGCAGCAAGTGCAATTCATTGAAACTCAAAGCAAAGGCTGCCCGAAGCCCCAGAGGGCAGCGTTGGGAACTGTGCTGTTCTCACCAGGCACTGAACAGTTCTTCCTGGCCTCCTCACCTTCCCTCAGTCCATGTATTTCCATTCCATCTATTTTACCTCCATCTATTTTACCTCCATTCATCTATTTTACCTCTGTTCACTACTTATCCCCCCACCAGTTTGAGACTCAGATCTTTATGGTTTACATCTTCACTTAAAAGGAGGATCTGGACCCTCAGCTGTTATTTTAAACACACACACTGTGTCTGAGCACAGCATTTTTAGGGACTGACCCTTCAGAGAGCAGCCAGCCACAACACCCCGGCTTCTCCCTGGTGCTTCACTGCACCCAGGAGCAAAGACACAGCAGAGCAGGCACAGGAGGAGCCTGGCAGGAGCAGGAGTGGCACAGGAGAGGTGGGAGAGGCAGAGCCCCAGAGCAGGCACCTGCAGGGTGGCATTTGGTGCCCGGTCACAAGTTCAGGCAGCAGCATGGGCTGAGGAAAACAGCCCAGAGAGAACATCTGCTGTTCCTCAGGCTGCTGTGCCTGGAAGTGCTGTTCATCAGGTTCAGCCCAGGCAGGGAGCAAACAGGTAAACAACCAAAGCTTGTGGGTGACTGACAGCACCTGAGTGCAGAAGGAAATCCCAGAGTCCCCAATGACATCTCTGTAGGACACTCAGCCATCAACAATCTCAGCTGTGCACCAGCACTCCTCACTCAGTTGGAGGCAGGACATTTACAGCCTTCCATGGGAGCCTCTCACAGTTTATTTAAGAAAACACAGAACAGATTCACATTAAAATCTATCCTCTAACAACAAAGTATTCACCAAAAAAGCCACCACAGACTGTGGGTTCTGAGTTCCTTCAGCTACCAACATGCAGACTGGAGATTCCATAATAACCAAGAAGATGCCTCCAGTCCCCCATCCCCCAAGATAACCCCCCCAGAGATCACTCTGGCTCCAGACAGAGCCCTGCAACCATGCACATGAAAAGGGAAGGGAGAAGTTATGGGATGATGAAAGGAGAAGGGGACAGACTCCATTTTGAGCATGGTCACACCAGGAAATGGCTCTGCAAGTCAGGAAAGTGTCAATGTGCCTTTGCTGGGCTTTGCTGGAATGTGACCCAGCACAAAACCCTCTTGGAGAAATCCTTCCAAGAAACAACCATGGTTCATGGAAGGGGTGTGGTGTACCCTTACTCCCTCCAGGTCTAGGACAACCTGCAGGACTCACTTTGCTCAGGCACTGATCTGTAGAGCAATGGCACCTCCTTGCCTGGGGATCAATAAGGCCTCTGAAAACAAAGATTGAAGCTGTTGGCATGGATGGGGTTGGCTTGAAAAGGTCTCAAGAATACTTCAGGAATAATGAGATCTCCTATTAATAACCAGGTGCTGAAAGGAGGAGGATTGGCCACTACAACAGGGTGACAATTCCATAATTAATCAAGAGTTCAGTGCTCCAAAGCAGAGCACCAGAGCAATGGAGTCACCATGGAATAACCAGCACTGCTCTGCTGGGGCTGAGGAAACAAGAAACAAGTGACAGCCAAAGCAAATGGCCCATTCCATGCCCCATGTGAACACATGTGGAACAGAACAATCCCTCAGATTACTCACAGATCCAGAAGACCAAAGAAACAAGAGTCAAAGGAACAGAAGAGAAAGGCAGGTCTGGCTTAAAAATGCAACTGATGACAGAATATTTCTGATTGCCCTGATTACCAATGCCATGGGAGGTGGAGTTGCTTGGTCTGAAGGTGAGGTAGGTGCAGCCTGACACTTCAAACATCACACAGGAGGCAGAAATGCAAGAGCACAGCACACACCAGAAACAAAACAGTTCTGGGCCAGGGTGCCACTGGTGAGGGATTCTGTGAGTTATTCTCCAGTTATTCTCCCAGTGCACTGTGATCCTGGAAATTTGCTCCTATGCCCATGTGGCATTTAATCTTGGGGGGCAAAAAAGGAGCTTAAATTCCTTTAATTTCACTTTACCATCCCCAGCACTGCTTTCCTCCTGTCAGTTTCTGCTGCTCGGGCATAGGAGTAACTTTCCTCTCAGAACTTACACTGAGGTTGGTCAACTACTCACTCTCATGCTTGTATTTCTGGGTGACTCCTGCACTCCTCAGGTGTGGACTCAAGGCTCTGAGCTCATGGAATGAAGCTCAGCCATCATTTGGGACACACAGGCAGAGTCTGAGCTCTCTGCCCTGACAAAGTTGTCCCCCAGCTTGAGGCCAATTGTGTCTACCCTGAGAAAACCTTCCAGACTGAAATCACTCTTGCAAAAAAGTGAGGAAAAACCAAAATTTCCCCTTCCAGTGCCACCCTTCAATAACTAACACAGTTTCCTGAGCCAGTCTAGCACATATTTCAGATTCAGTGAGACACCTCCCTGCTTCCTCTGCCTTGGGCACACTCCTTGGCCATGGGGCCATTTTCCACAAACCCCAGCTGCAGCAGAGGGAAGCAGCAGGCATGGAAACAGATTTGTCCTGCAAGTCGTGTCTCTGAAAAACCAAAGAATGAACAGATAACACACAGAGCACCTTCTGCACTGCTCGGGAAGACCAGGGTCCCACCACACCTGTGCAGAGATGCTCCACAACCTCATCCAAGGGACAATGACAATTTTTGGATGTCTCCTGGACAGACCTCTCTGAGCCACAGCCGTGCAGGGTGCTGAGGCAGAACTCTGACCAAAAAACGTGCCCAAACAATGCTTTGACACAAGTGAATGCAACAACCTTGGTACTCCACCAAAGGCCAAAGCATGGTGGGTGGGCAAACAGGCCAGGAGCACCTTCCTCATGCAGAATGCTGAAATACCCTGCAAGAGAAGCCCTGCCTCAGACAAGACGCTGTCACAGCCAGTGTGGATCTGAGATCCTGCCAGAGAACACCTCAAAGTCTTCCCAGCAGCCCTGTCCCACGTTGTGGCCACCCTGAGGGTCATGCCATAGAAATGAAGTGTGCATGTGTCACAACAACCACTACCACAGGTCAAGGATCTTTGAGGGACATGGCAAGGCTCGATGGGCAGGGGCACCACCAGCTCCAAGAGCGACAGAGCGACGGCAGAAACACTTCAGCACAAGGCAAACACAACACGCCAACAGGGGAGGCAGTGGGGAGTCCCCACCTGGTCCCCCTTCCCTTCTGGCCCCTGGCAAGGTGGTGAGAACCATCAAACCAACATTCCCGAGACGTTCCCCAGCCCTCTGCCATCCCCAGGATCCTGACCTCGCTGCTCAGGCCGCCTCTCACCCGAGTGCTTCTGCGAGCCCCTTCCAAGAGCTCCACACCCCGACCCCGGCTCCAGCGGCCCCAAACCGCTGCGGGGCCGCGGCCCCGGGGCTCCCACTCCGCGCTGCCCCGGGGCCTTTCCGCCCAGCCTCTCCCGCCGCCCCCGGGCCCCGCAGCCGCGGGTCAGGCCGCGGGGTCCCGCCCAGGAGCCCCTT